TATAAACAACAGAATTAATACTAATGTGTATCAAATAAATGTACAGAATATTAATTCATAGCAGCAATACTTCACAGTAGCCGGCAAATTAAGAACACACATGTCCCTCAAATAGATTAAATAAAAAACAAAACTGTGGTACAGCACATCACAAGACGTCACAATGAAAAGAACTTTTAACTCACTTGTGACATCGTGAACAAGCTCACAAAATGTTGAATAAAGAAACCAAATGCAAACAAATACACATTCTAAAGATTCCAATTAAATCAAGTAAAACACAGACAAATTTTCTCTGTGACATGAGAAGAGGGATGACGGCGACAGTACTGAGTCAAATACAAGTAGGGAAGGGGATGGTCACATGGGTGTGTTCACTTTATGACACTGGCTGGCAGAGTGACTCAAGTGGTAGAGACCTGCCAGCAAGCGTGAGGCCCTGAGTTCAAACCCAGTGCTGCCAAGAAAAAATAAATAAATTAATAAAACTAGTAAACACTTTGTGACACTGTGCACATGAACCTATATTTTGCCTCAATGAAAATATGCATTTAAAAAACCTGAATTCTCCTTCCCAGTTCTTCCCATCCTTGTATACATGAGCAGTCTATCAGTTTCATTAGAGTGCCTCAACCATCTCTCACCCTTTCACTACAACTGCCTGACTTAAACCTGAAATGCTCACAGTATCTAGATCACTTCCTTGAACAATAAAGAGACTTGGCATCATAATGACATTGAAATCCCTGGGTATTTCCTTATTTCACTAAGTCTTGCTAAGGCAAAAGTAGAAAGGGGATACAAGGAGGATTATGAAGTCTGGCTGAGGCTGCAAACTGAACCAGCTCAGGAAAAAGAACTTTGACAGCTCACCTTCTGACAGTCTCCAGAAGAATCAATTTCTTCTAAATCAATGAGCACTGCAATTCACTCAGCCCTACTGTACATGTGCAAGGTCTTTCAGAGTTTTTAAGAGTATTTCCTCTCAGCACCTAGATCTCCTTCTATGAACAAATACTACTGTGCCTGTGGGGTGCTGCCCCCTACATGGGACTCTCTCAATGTAAAACCAAGAAGGTCATTGCAGTATCTCTGCAGCAAGAACATAGCCATGCAGGGAAAACCTGTCCATGATGCAGACCTAATCATTTTTCTATAAAAGAGTCTATTTCCTTAAACAAAGCTAGGATATGATCTCTTCCTATGAGTTGACAGACCTCTGAAGACAATGATCCTTTCCCTCAAGATTAAGAAGCAGGACTTCCAATACCACCAGAACAGTCCACATCAGCACAGAGATGCCCATGAGGACAACTGCAGCGTCAAAACACTCTGCACAGAATGAAGTCCAAGATACTTGCCTGATGTTTAATAGCATCATAGAGTAACTGCCTTCCAGAAGGGCTGTCAAAATCTCCAACAATCCAAAAAGTTACTGGCCTAATAAAAGAATCATCTGTAGAAAAACAAAATGACAAATTGATAGAAAAAAGCACATCTAATGTTTCAATGTTGTTATTAATATTGTTATTAAGCCAACTAATTTCTGAAAACCATGCAAAAATTAATCAAATGACCAATTTACTTAAAGATACAAAGCAAAAGTAGACAAACTCTGCTGCTAAAATGAAGCAAGGTAGCCTTCCACAGTGCTTAATTAGAAACTAGGAACATGCACGGATTAATTGTACTGTGGTATGAGAATCTGTTAGCATGTGAAATGAAACATGAGGGTAACACTATATAGTCTTGAATCATATCAATTTGTAACTTTTTAAAGTACAAATCATAAGATTTGCAAACATTTAGTCACATTTCTCAGCACTAATACAGCCTATAGTTACCCACAGGTTTCAGAAACATCACAATCAAGTGTCAATAAATTCTGAATGGCAATGGTCCTGAAACCACATAAGATAACTAAAAAAAATAGGATATTCTGAAGTTTTGTGTTACCATAGATTTCCTTGGGAGGACATTCCTAGACAAGGGCAAAGGAAAAGAGTGGAAGAAAAGAAAATGTCATTTCTATAATAATGTCCACTATAAGAGTGAAACAATTAAATGGTGGCTAGCATGACCTATGCCTTTTTCTGCTCTTCATCCCATTAGTGCACAGCACTGTTCCAGGACTCCTCAGAAACAATCTGAAGAACCTGGTCATTGCCTAAACTTACATATACCTGGGAAACCAGAAATTCTTCCAGAAAAAGACCACAGAAGGGGTAAACTAGCTATCTTAGGTGACAGCTAGTACTGGAATAAGTATGACCAGAGGGAAATGAATCTGTCAGCTATTGAAAAGATTCATTTTACACCTTCTTAGCTACTAAAACTAAACTGCTAAAAATCAGTTTAAAAATTACATAAGGCTTTTAGAATTTAAACAAACCCTAATAATTGTAGAATTTCTACAAACCTAAATAATATTAACCCTATCTTTGTTACTGAGGAGGCAAGTCAAACTAATTTTCAATCCATTAACTCATTTTTGTATCATAAATGTTTTTTCCATTTTGAACTGTGACAAATTATTCTTTTTAACCTTAATAGCTAATACAAAATTTATAAAGACAACATTTGAATTTTTAGCAAATGCACAAAATTAATTTAAGTATGAATTTCCAGATCCAAAGCATTGTAATAAATAACTAATAAAAGAAATCATGGAATCTCTTTCCTCAAAACACTGAATTCCATTTTCAAGTTGATTGAATAATGTTTGCAAATACTAAAGTAAATGTTGAATCCAAGATAAGCCCTAAGTGGATTACCTTTCTTTGTCAGATAGCTCATACTATTGGCTAAAGCAGCAGTCTTGCCTTCAGAATCCAAGACAGAAAATCGAGCGTAATCATCCACAAAGAAATTATCTAGGGGGGGGAAAAAAAACTGAAACAAATACATAATGAATATGCCTCAATTCAATCTGTTAATATTCGACTGACAACCTCCTTTGACAAAAATATAAGATGTATGAAAATGCACAGGTGAGGTATATTGAGTTCCATGTTTACTGGACAAGTTCACAACACAACCCCTACCTCTTTAATCATACTTTAACACACAAAGATAATGAATAATGCACATGCCTCGCATGGACATCATTTATATATGTGCCAGTTCAATCCATCCTATGCCACTATGGTTTTGCAACTGGAAGATTATCTCTTAGCGATTCCTTTAACTCATCTCTCCTTCCCCTCGTCCATCCACTAGAGTATGTTCTCCCTATCCTATTGGTGTGGGAATAGCAAAAGTTGATTTTTATTTTTCATGTCTAACAAAACAACATTTTTTTCCTAACCTTAAGAAAAACAAGGGGCTGGGGGCTCAAGTGGTAGAGTGTCTGTTTCAAGTGTGAGAACCTGAGTTCAGAACCTGAGTTCAGAACCCTAGTACCACCAAAAAAACACCACATGGGCTGGCAGAGCAAGTGGCAGAATGCCTGCCTAGTAAACTCCATTACCACCAAAAAAAAAAAAAAGGGGGGGGGACAGAGAGAATTTATCTTCTTTAGAAGAAATCTCTTGTGAGTTTAGCTCATAGTTTGAACTCAAGGTACAATGAGTGCATACATAAATTTTTGTCACCATCTTGGCTTATTAGCATTGTAATTATGTAAATACAAAGAATCTGAAGCACAAATCAAAAAGCCAAAAAAAGTTGTTTCTGAAATGCTCTTTACTATTTGCTGTTAAATCCAGGTACTCTCGCTCAGCTGTCAAAATCCTAGAATTGATTCGTGGAACAACATTCGGCTGATTCATGATATACTCTACCACATCTTGATCATGAGACAGTTCACCCTACAGGAAAAAACAAACAGAGAGGACAGGTGATAAGTGATCATCAGTAATAATTCATTAGAAAATAAAAAATTATTAGCTTTCCAACAGCTTCTTATGTGCTGGTAACAGCTGAAGGCAGGAGCCGGGCATGGTAATAATACCTGCAAATCACAGAACTTGGAAGACAGAGGCAGAAGAATTATGAGTCAAGACCAGACTGAGTTACAAAGAAACATCCTGTCTGGGACTGGGTACATAGCTCAAGTTGTAGGCCAATTGCCTTGCAAGCTTGAGGTACTGAATTCAAGCCCCATTACAGGAAAAAAGAAGAAAAAGAAGAAATAAAGAGAGATCCTGTCTGAAAACACCAGGGTCTGGGGAAGTGGCTCAGTGGTAAAGCACCTGCATGCATAAGGTCCAGGGTTTTATCCTTAGCACTGCATTTAAAAAAAAAGAAAAAGTAACTAAAGACAGAAGATACATGCTATAGATCCCTGTCACTGCCAAGTAGCGGGGTGTTTATGTACAAGGTCTCTATCACCATGTTAGGAAGATGTCAGTCACACTCACTTAAAGAGGAGGAGGCTGAGACACTTGAAAGGTTAATCAGTTTCTCAATGTCACAGAACTAACAGGAAAAGGGACCACAGGCAAAAAACGCTCTCCACAGTACTAGGCTACCTAGAAAAGCAAGCTCTGCAATCAGTTAAGAGTTTATGTAAGGGCTTGTGGTCGTAGCTTAGTAGTAGAGTACTTGCCTAGAGTGCACAGGCCTTGGGTTTGATGCCCAGCACACCAAAAAAACCAACGGTAATCAAAATTCAAAAAATTTAATATAAAAGTACATACACCAAGCTCTTGGGAAGCTGAAGAAGGAAGATCATAAGTTGGAAGTCACCTGGGCTACATAGCAAGACCCTGCCTCAAAAAATAATACATTTTATATTGTATATAATAATATAATGAGAAAATGTAAGTACATTATAACATACTACGACGACATGCATAAATATTTATTTGAGGGGGAAGACAGGTCTTGCTATATAGCCCATGCTGGCCTCAAATTCATAATCCTCCAGTTCAGCTTTATGATTGCTGGGATTACAAGCATGCACCATTAAACCTGGCTTTATAAAAGCATATTTTAAAGTCATTTTTAATAGAAAGACATATAAATCAAATATACACATTCAAATCTAAAAATTCTAACTACAGAGTAATAGAGGGAGTGAATATGATCATAGTATATTATATGCATGTAAGGAAATATCAAAATGAAACCCCTATATTGTACAATATGTGCTAATAAAAATATGGAAATAATTCCAATTAGACAGTGTGTCTGCTTCTCCCAAAAGATACAAAAGTTCTAAACTGATAATGACCATATGAACCAATCACATGCAAACATATACATACACATAGAACATGACCGGTGGGACAGAAGTGAATGGGTGAAAGTTTCTCAATTACATTTGCTTATACATTCTTAATTTCATATAATCTGCATAACATATCTTTAATACAGTGAATTTAGTTCAAAATCTTAAACATATAAAATGATTTCTTCTTAATATGAACAAAGCAAATATAACAAAGTTGTGGTAGATTTTCGAAAATATACAAAGATATACATATTTTATAATATTCACTGTAGCACTATTAACTGAAAAATCTAGAAGCAATGTCCAACAATAGAGACAAAATAAATGATTGTTCTTAAAAATGCGATACTATGCAACAGTCTGAAAGTACTAAGAGTGATATATTCAATTAGAAAGGTAAATATACTACACACACACATCAGACACACACTTCTCTAGGAAATGAAAGGGAAGAACTTTTACTTTTTACTTTATATACTCAATTTTCCTAAATTTAGTTATGTTCTAAATATGTATATAAATGTATATATTGCTTTTGTCCTAATGTTTTTTGAACTCAGAGCCTTGCATTGAGATTACAAGTGTGAGCTACTGTGCCCAGCTGTCCTAATACAAAAGTTTTCTCATCTAGCCTAAAACAAGCTTCTCATTGACCATAAAAATAGAAGCACAGGAAAATTAGCATTCATAAAAGAGATAATGTATTTTTTTAAATAGTTACTCTTGGAGAATAATGGAGGAGGGTAATTCAACTATGATAAATTATTAGAACTTTGATAAATGTCACCATGTACCCCCCAGTACAATAATAATAATAATAATAATAATAATAATAACATAAAAAAGAAAATTTTAAAAAGTTAGTTACTCTTATAAACAAGAGAAAACAAAAGTTCTGATTTTTTTTTTTGGTGCTGAAGCCTTTAGTTCTCTTTGAATTTTACCTAACCATTATTGAAGAAAAAATTTTTATTGTCTGAAAAGGAAATCCAGAAGGCTGGAGGTGTGACTCAAGTGATAGAATGCTGCCTCACGCAAAGTGTGAAGGCCTGAGTTCAATTCAACCCCAAGTACCGCAAAAAAAAAACAACAAAAGAGAGCAGAAAGCATTTGTTTATTTATATCACTTAAATAAAGAAAAGTAATTATCATTTCTCCTAGATTATCTAGAACTTTAGAAAACAAAGTCAAACTCATTTAAATGAAATTTCTGAAGCCGGGTGATCCTGGTAGCACATGCCTACAATCCCAACACTCAGGAGGCTGAGGCAGAAAGGTTACAGAACAAGTTCTAGGCCAGCCTGACCTACACAGCAAAACTCCGTCTCAAAACAAAAACAAAAACGAGGCTTGGAGATGTAGCTCAGTGGTAGAACACTTGCCTAGCATGTGTAAGGCCCTGGGATCACTCCCCAGACCACAAACAAACAAAACAAACCACCAAAAAAAAAAAAAAACCAAACAAAAAAAACCACTTTGTTTCCATGATCTCATTCCAGTAG